TTCCCCGCCCTTGTTTGCTTACATTAATTTAAAGGAGTTCCCCCTAACCCTTATGCCTTGTCAGTCCCTGCAGACCCTGGTTCTGGGTCTTCCCTCCTCTTATCAGGCCGCAGACCTGGTCTCTTCGGGAGGAGTTTTCCCTAATATCTGAGCTAGCTCGTCTGTGGTTAGTTGCTTCCTCGTGCAATCTGGCTAAGTGCTGTTAGTATTGAAGCGTGGCTGTAGAGAACTCCGCGCATGCTCTAAAGCTACGACGTGAACATTGCCAATTTAAATATTGCCAATTTAGTTTTTGATCCCTTCAAAAGGATGCGTGAACGTTTTACCACCTTGTTTTCGGATGAGGGAAACAAGAAAAAAGTCACGAGAGCTAAAAATGTCATTCTTATTCATTTCAATGCTTTAAGATTTGTCACAGATGGGTTTTCTCTCTTTTTTTATTAATTTTTTTTTTTTTTAAAAGAGAACGGGCAAGCCAAAAGAGAAGAATGAACCAATTAATACCGTGGACAGAGAAGTTGCAAAAATGGTACATTCGGTGCTCCATATAGCCTTGGTGAAGGATCATTGATGAAGGATTAACCGTAAAAAAACCAAAAACAGAATACATGAAGGAAAAAGGATTTTAAAGGTCTTTTTAAATCTCTGAGCTGAATACCAACATCTCCCGTTTTATTATTTAAAAATAAATAACCAAACAGAAAAAGAGAAAAAGGCTTCTCTTCAGGTCATATAAATCTTTCGCCTCTACTCCTTCTATCTCAAGTTGCTCCTAACAGACCAATCTGATCTTATTTCATTGTCCTCAGCTAAATTCTGCTTTACAATCTGTACAATACAATTTGGGATGTAACATCCCAAATCAGGTGTGAATCTTATGTCTAACTCCCTACTCTGTGACCAAATCATAATTGATCTGATACAAGTTAGTATAAAAATGTATTCCTCTTGTAGTCTTTTATAAATTTTAGTATTACTTATACCATTTTATAGTTATTTGTTTTAGTCAACTGCAGTATTTAGATTATTTGTTGTAAAATTAACTGTAACGACAAAGGATTTTCTTTGTTTATAATACTGTATCTTCACACTGTAATTGTACCTCATTAATTCTATCCGCATCCTCTTTTATGCTATTAACATGATTTTTGTTTTTACACTTACTGTAGCGTAAAGAGCTTTGTCATTAGTTATATGCTGGTCTACGACCGAAATAAAACTGATTGATTGGATCTTTCACCTTCGTTTTTATTTTTTAAAAGGAGACCCACGCTCTGCAGTTAGAGACTGTGAACGTCTCAGGCCATTGTAAGGGAGCTCCCCGGAAAGATACACAGATCTGCAGTTCGTGTGCAATAGAAAAAGTCTACACAATGCAGTTTTGGGACCACAGCACAACTCCAAGCAGGGATGTGCAAAATGTCTCCACTTCAAAGGTTGTCAACACTGTTTTGGAAGTGGAGACGTCCAGCTGATGCCCCAACGATGGCACGCGGGTCGTGATACCATCAAACAAAACGAGTGATCTAATTTGCATCATGTCAACGATGACATCAGGACACAGCGAATATCCCCTCCCTCCCCTCCCCTTTCGATGCTCTGATCTGGAAGGTTTTAAGATTCCTTGCTGGCTATTTCGCCCCTAAAGCACCAAGGATGAATTTGGAGCGTTACCTTTTGAACTCGAGACTTTTGAAAAATGTGAAATCTTTACATTTTGGTCTAGTGCGTGGAGCACACTGAGCAAGCACAGTCAAGTTAATTTAAGAGCTGGAAAGTCATGTGAACCCAAGAAAAAGAAAAGACTGAATTGAGTAAACCAAGGTTAGGTTAACCATGGCTGAGTTGCAATCATTTTCCCCTGGAAACAGGGTGGGGCACATCCCTTTTTTAAAAAACGTTATATCTATTTGAAAGTTGCAGAGGACATGGGACTGGCACTGACAAGTTAGTTCTTTCTTTAAAAAACCAAGCCAGCATAAAGCAATAGTTAAGAGATTGGACTGGGATCCGTAAAACCCTGGTTTGGCCCCCGGGCTCTCCCTCTGCTTGGCCTACCTCACAGAACTGTGGTTGTGGGGATAAAATTAAGGGAGACTCCCCCCTCTTGTTATCTGCTTTCAACTCCGAAAGGAAAAAGGGGGTTTCAGTGCAATCAATGCAGAAATAAAACAATGTCAGTTATTCAAAACGTTTTCGACCGAAGAAAATAGCAACCAGGTGGTTTTTTAGCCCAGCCTACAACTAAGAAAAGAAAAGGCAGGTAGGTCCCACGTCCAACATCATCACTGGGCTGATCCAGATTAGAAAATGGAGTTATTAAGATCTAGCGGACCATCGGATGCCACGGCTCTTCCCATCAGCTGCTCCTTCAGTCAAATGGGCCGAGCGCCAGGACCTTTGGGGTGCAAGAGAGTTGCTTCCCCGCTGAGTTGGTCCCCCACTTGCCCACCCGCCCGCCCACCTACCGCCGCCCTGCTCACACTGATCCCGTTCTGCCCTTCTGAGAGCGTTCTAACTTCCGGAGTGGGAACAGAAGACCCCAAGACAAAGCCCTTCTTACTTACACCACACCCAGCTTGAACGTGTACAGGAAGATGGCGTTCATGATCACATTCAGCACGTTCACCACCGCGCCGGTCACCACTTGCGGCAGGAGAATAGCCTGGAACGCAGGACACGGAGGAAGGAGAACGAGACGCGTTTCAGCAATGCTGAAGCATGGGCAGAAGCTCCACCGGTGGAACTGTGAACCCAGGGAGGTTCCTTGAGTTGGACTGCCTGCCCTTTGGGGCAGAAACATGGGGTGTTATTTTCATCAGGACTGGGGGGGCCATTTCAAGTTCAGGTCCGGGAAGGTGCTTCAGAGCGCGCGGGGCACCAACATAGCGTGCTACCAGTCTGCAAATCCATAAATGGCTGTTTCATTCCTTGGAGTCACACAACTCTTCTTTAAAGGGTTACTTGGAAGAGATGCAGAGCAGTAGTACACCGGTGCACTTGCGTGTTCCAAAGCACCTTTTGGAAATCAAATTCAAAACACCCCACCGCCCTCATTAACACTACTAGTCAAACATACTTGTTACATTGATAGGTCAACTCAGGATGAGCCACAGCCCCCAAGGTGATCCTCACAACAACCCTCCAAGGTAGGTTAGCAATTGGCCTGAAATCACCCTGTGGATTCTGTAACTGAACGGGGATTTGAACCCAACTCTTCTCCATCAGACCCTGCTCCAACTGTCGCATCACCTAACCATGAGTCTGGAATGGGCTGAGGATTCCTGCCCTGGACTGGGGGCTGGACTAGCAGACCTCTAAGGTCTGCTATGAGTCTATGACCTTGGACAGCTTCCTCTGAGGAAGAGAAATGCAGGAGACGCAAAATGTTTGGGTGCACGTTAAGAAGGAGACGGGTCTCCGAAAGCAAAGGGGGAGCTCGATAAATTGGAAAGTCTCCAACTGTTCCCCCCAACCCTGTCCAGCTCAGAAACATTCCTCCTTTTCATGCAAGTGTTGCAGGCAACATTTTGTGACTCTCACTCCTCGCTTGATCAAAAATCAGGAGCTGGTATGTAATGGTATGTGGGGATGAGAAGATGAGGGGAAGAGATGCTGCCTAGGGAATGGTCAGATAAAAGGGGAGGAAGCCCACAGCTGAATAGTGGACAGAGAAAGAAACTCAGAAAGGATCTGCCCTGGCTGTAAAAGAGAAGGTGGGAGAATTGTACTTTCAGACTTGCAAGATTCTGTCAATGCAGCCTTACAATAAAGTAGAATTAGCTCAGCTGGTCAGGTTTCCTTCTGGTCTACTGGGAGGCTGTCAGCATGAAAGCCTCTGCCTTTGAATAAAATGGGTTCATCGGAAAAGGTGCTACCCGGCACCTGATTTCCTTGCCACCAGAGACTCACACAGCTCTCCTCCTACAATGCCTCCCCTTGATAGGAACTGAAGGATTGTCTGCACATTGCAACCAGTGCAACTAAGGGGTGAATGGCCTGGTGCCACATGCATTGCGACGTTATGACGCACCCCACGACTCACGAATGGGCAGGATGGGCATCACGACGCCACAATGCCGGCTTGGGCATTTCCTGGCCACCGTGCTCTGCAGCGGTGCCTGTCGCTAAAGGCTCCCCCCCCCCCGTCTTCTCAGCATTGGAAAGCAGAGATCCCAAACCCTTAAGGGAGCAGCTTCCTGAGACCTCCCCAGGAAATTTCCAAAATGCAAAGTTTCACGAGATGGAAAGGAAGAGCGATGAAGGGCAACTGGGTGACATGGATGGAAATTTTAATTATCAGTACAAGGTTTTAACTTTGTGCTAACCTGCTGCTTTTGAGGCACAGTTGCCACTCCCCACCCCACACCCCGCTAAATTCTTGTTTTAACAAAAAGCGAAAGAGAGAAAGTACCTGGCTTTGCAAATAGCGTGTTTCCAGCTGGTAGATGAATGCAGCCTGAAACACACACCCCCCGTCCCAAACAGGTTAGATTAGATTCTCTGATTAAAAATCGGTTTCATGATTATTTTTTTACTTTCTTTTTTCCCTCCCTTTCTACCCAGGGAGCCCTCAAGGTAGGTAAGGGTGCAAAGTGAAATGTAAATGATCAAAAAAACACAGTACAATAGTTAGAATTCTATTTTTTAACACAGCTTCTCATGCGCCTGGGGAAACTGACCAAGGAAAAAGTCAAATTGGCCGGGGGGGGGCGATATTTCTAGAGACCGTTCCAGATTGGTAAAAAAAAGTCTCCCTCAACTTAAACTCAACTCTTGGTAACTTATGGGGAGGGGGATTGTTGACATTATGTTTATTATTATTATGTGTTATATTGTCTTGGGGGGGCAGGATGTGAGGCGCTTCCCAGAGTCACGATTACAGGTTGTCCTCATTTAACTATCACCATTGGGACCGGCCACTCAGTCGTTAAGCGAAGTGGTTGCTAAGTGAAACATCATGGTTTTACTTCCGCTTTCCTTTGCTTTACAGACCTGCGAAGGTCATAAATGCGAGGATTGGTTGTAAAGTTACTTTTTCATCACCATCATAACTGTGAACGGCCACTATCTGAGGCAGTTGCTAAACACGGATGACCTTACACAAGTTGGGGGGGGGCTAGATAAATCTTCTAAATAAAAAGACAATTGGTCTGAGTCAGCATACAATGGCGTTTTTTCATCTTACTAAGTCTCCCCGTCCAAAACACCCCACATTTCCAAACAGGAATAGATCAAACGGATCATGAGATCCCATACACTGCCCACATCCCTTGGTGATGTCATGATGCGCATGATGCCACTTGCCCTCCCCTGCCACCCCTGCCCACAGACATCCAGCCTTGGTTCCCGTCCCCAAACGGTCCCACTGGGGGGCTGAGATGGCTCAGGAGCCCCAAGTGTGCCCCCAAAGGACGGGAGGGGGGCAGACAATCTGCAATCCCACGGCTCTCGAGCTCGTTGGCATCTCAAGATGCTGAAATGCGGCTAAAATTCCCAATTTGGGGCCTTGGGTCACAGGTCCCCTCAGGGCCAATCAGTGAGTGACGTCACGCCATTTCATTTCAACAATTTGTATGCCTGGGCATAAAAGCAACCATCTATCTATCTATCTATCTATCTATCTATCTATCTATCTATCTATCTATCTATCTATCTATCTATCTATCTATCTACCTATCACAAATAATTCATGTGGCTGGGAATAACGGTAATTATCTCCTTATTATTTATTCAACGCAAACCATTTATATGGCTGGGAATAAGCGCTAATCACGCTTCAGCCCGGCCTCGCGTGTGACGCGGACGCAGCCGATGAACCGCTTACCGGCAGGGCTGGAATGAAGATCATCACGTAAATGTGGGTTAATCTGCAAGAAAAACGGAGCAGCGTTTTGCTGGGCTGGGAACCCGGGGTGAAACGGGACGATCCCCTCGGGCTGGAATGCCCGCGGAGGTTCAGCACGGCAGGGGGCACGGCGGGAGTTCTGAGGGCGCTTTCGCAAAATGGCTGCCGCGGGACGCAGTCGGAGAGTGGCACGTCTGCCTGTTAGTTGCCCTTCTGGCAGCTCTGCAGATCCTGGGGGGCTCTTTGCTGCCCACCTGATCCTTCCACTTTTGGGGGGAAAGGCTTTTTTTTATTTTCTAAGAAAGTTTGGGCCCGGAGGCATGATGGAAGTGCAGACAAAGCCAGAAGACCCCCTCTGCTTTACTAGGGCCAGGTTTTGAGATATGTAAAATTATATATACACACACGTACCCATAGAATACATGCACGCATAGGTCTTTGCCTATTAAATGTATATCCTACCGTTTGTACAGGAGCTCAAGGTGGCCTGCGTAGTCTTCCCTCCTACTTTTCCCAACAACAGCCTTGTGAGGTAGGCTAGGTAGAAAGAGGGACTGGCCCAAAGTCCCCCAGGGAGCTCCTTTGGCTGAGGGAAGACTTGAACACAGTCTCCCCACTTTTAATCCAACACATCACCACTAAACCACACGCATGTGTGTCCACATGTGAAACGTATACACACACACAGACAACTCTGGTTTCCAAGACAAGCACGAATGTGAGAAGCCTTCCTTTCTTGATGCCCACGGGCAGCCTTCAAAGATAGACTGCCCCTTTCGCTGGAGGTTCTATTAGGATTAAATAGGGTTTTTTTCCCAACCTCCCCCCCCCGGGAAAGAAAAAAAGCTTAGGGACCTGTTGTTTAATGCCTTGTCCCCCTGAAAGACGTAGGGAGGAGGAACTCTTGACCAAAAAAAATTAGATATAGAGAGCGGACGTTTTTCTCAAAGTTCGAAAAGAGGACGAGGGGACTAACCCTAAAGACAGGAGTGAGAAAAGAGGCAAAAGAGAGAGAGAGAGAGAGGGAGAGAGGGAAGGAAAAGAGGGCTGTGTAGTCATCTGCTGCGTTGTGCAAGAGCAGGAACTGTTTTTTGGAACTCCACCCAACCGAGAGACGCTCCCTGCTTTTTCAAAAAGCAAACGCGTTCCTTGCGGACGCCCCGCCGGGACTGAAAAAAAGGCGATCAGAAGCGCCGATGAAAGAGGAGAACTTGTGACGCGAAGCGGCGCCCTGGCTCAATTTTCTTTCCTGCTCTCCACCCAAACAGAGAAAATTAAAATCTGGGGTTGAGCGGGTGGATGAACTTAATTGAATTTGAGGGGGTTTCTTGAAAGGGACCCCTGCGACGGGCATGTTAGACGGACGCAGCATCTACGTCGAACAAACCGGGGTCGTCCGTGGAGGGAGGGGCTGAAAAAAGTCAAGAGGGCCGCTGCGATTGAAGCCCCCAAACGGGGGTCGCCCGTGGAGGGAGGGGCTCAAGCTGGCCTGCTATTCCCCGGAACATTCAGGGCAGCCGCAGAGAACTTCAGTGCAAAAAAGCAGCAGGAAATACCGAACGAACCTGCAGGCGATTAAGCCCCAACCGTAAGCATATTAAACTCTGGGGGGAAAGAAAAAAAAAAGGCAATCCTTCCATAAAAGGGTTTAGGGTCGGAGACCCCACTACTCGGCCTTCTTGGCGAGAGCGACTGAAAACGTCGAGGGCGAGGAGCAGGACTCAGGAAGATGAGAGCCTACACAGGCTGCCACGGCCCCCAGAAGGGAATTTGCTCTCGGAACGCGTGCCTGTGCGCACACGCCTGTGCGCCCACGCCCGTGGGCATGCACAGGCGCCACCGCTGGATGGCAGCCACCCGCCCCTTCCGCCATGCCCAACCTGGAGACTTCAGGGTCCTGCCGGCAAAGCAGCAGGATCCGCTCGGTGTTGATGAACAGGGCCCAGCAAGGAAAGCAGAAGAGGAGCAGGATCAGGATCCCCCGCTGCAGGATGGTCCCGACTCGCTTCACGTTTTTGCTCCCGTAGGTCTGGTGAGACAAAAGCCGGCGGGCGAAAGGGAAACGGAATCAGCTGGCTGTCACCTCCCGCAGGGGACGGCCGGTGAACTGGATTCTTTTATTCGCTCGCTGGAGAAAAGCGTGCGGGAGCAAGGCGCTGAGGAATTCAGGGATAACGTCCTTAACCTGGACGAGTCGCCCTCCCCTCTTTGGATACGAGACAGAATCACAGCATGTCAAGATCAGAAGGGACCTTCGAGGTCATCCATCCAACCCCAACCAGTGCAGAAACCCAGTATCCTGCCTCTGTTTAAAGACCTCCGGAGAAGGAGAGCCCACCATCTCCTGAGGGAGTCAGTTCCCTTCAGAAAGGCCATTATTTCTTGATTTATTCCGCCTCCTCAGAGACATGCCGCCCCCCCCCCGTTCAAGAGTATTATTTTATTCGTTTATTAGTGAAATGTATATGCCACCCACCTCCCCCAGAGGGTGACTCTGGGTGGCTCAGGATTAAAATCAAACGTTAAAAACAGTAAAACTGTAAATATCCATATTAAATTAGCTAAAAATAAAAATAATACTATATAAAAAGAGTATGAACAGGTCACTTCCAAAATGCTCCGAACCGCCCATTCAGGAGCCGGGCAACTTTCTGAATTTTGGGGACCAAATCAAAACAGCCAATCCTGGGACCTCGTTTTCAGGATCGCCACACGCTGCAAGGGAAGATTTTGCACACTCGTGGGGTCGGTGAAGATATTTTGCACTGGGGCTTTAGCTTCAGTCTGGAAAATAGGATCACTGGGGCTGGGAGAAGCCTGTTTTTAGGTGAGATTCTAGAAAGCAGCTGTTGGCCAGAGACGACTTAATCGGCCCCAAACAGCCTGACATGGAATGAAACAGGTTTCCAGTTTCCTGCTATGCAAACTCAGCGGCTAGACAAATCTGTTAGTGCAGGAAGGGCAAATCCACAAATCAGTTTTTGTTCTTGTTTTAAATGTCAACCTCCTCCAAAAGGGATCCAGGAAATTTGGATAGCGTGATTCTCCGGTGATGCCATGACATAACCCCCACCATCCCTTGGAGATTCCACCATGAAAAAAATATTTTTCTTAAAAAAAAAAAGGGGGGGTCCCCCCAGCTGCAAAAAGTTCCCCATCCTGTCCTTTGCCATAAATCAGCTTCCCACAACTTTATCTCTGGTCCTACAATTCCCAGGTTCTTTTGCCCACACGTCCTGCAGACACCAGTTTGGCCATAAATCCTGATTAAAGGAAGTACGTCAACCCGGACCAGGAGCTGTGCATTTAATTCAAGGTAGGGCTGCAGATTATGGACCCAACTTTAGCCAGAAATACACATTACCTGCGACATGAGGGTATCGCATACCGATGCCAAGCCGGTACCCACTGAAATGCCAATCACATTGATAACCTATAAAGTTGGGAAGGAGAAGAAAGGAAGAACAGGTCAGCAAGACTGTCCCAATGTCTCAATTGCGCATCACTTAGTCCTTGACATCTCCATGCATCTCCATTGTCTCAGTGTATCCGTGCACCATTCAGTCTCCAACCTGTCAACACATCCCCCATGTCTCGTTGCACCCATACACTGCTCGACCCTCCAGCGTGTCAATGCATGCCCAGCGTGGTCTCCATGCATCCATGCACCATTCAACCCCATCTTGTCCAATTATCTCAGGGGGCAGTGCTAGAAAATCCCCTCCCTGCTTGGGCCAGGCGGGCATGTACATACCGAAACAGCAAGGGTGACGGCATCGAGTTCAATCTTGCCCAGGTGGCCGCAGAAGACCGAGCTCACCACGCTGATCAAGAAGCCCAACAACTGGGCTGTGAACTGAGGAGGAAAACTCACCGTTAGCAGATCATCCCTGGAACAGACAGACGGCTCCAGCATCGGAAATCGAAAAGCCCCTCTTCCCTTAAAGATTCGCCTCTGTAAGTTATTCCTTCAAATGTGCAAGTTAAACAGCACCACGAGGGATGACCAAACCACACCATTTGTCTGAATATGAGTAATCCCCCTGGAAATGGACCCAAATCCACCTTGTCTTTCTTCGTTTCCAACCATCTGCCATTTTTACTTTCACCCCTTTACTTTCTGGCCTCGAACGCCGTGGAAAACGGTTCTTGAGCTAGATCCTGGCTGGTTGAACTTTGCTGAGAATTGTCACCGAATTTGTGGAAACTTAGCACCTTGGGGGGAAAAATGCTGGCATTCTCCAGGGGCTAAATTCAACTCCCCAGTATATTTGGTACTTTTTTACGCACACTCCTGGAACGACACGTTTATTCAAACACCAGTGGAGGTTGCACCCAACTTAAGGGGATCGGATGCAGTTCGACCAATGCAGCAAAGGGCTTCTGGTTTTGATCCAGCTAGCCGGGCCCGTTTCCAAGAAATTCCGTTCCATTTTCTTCCTGGCATCCTTGTTTGCTATTTATGCCCCCTCACCCACACTCCAAGAGCAGATCAGCCCTACAGACCCACCTAATTTTTTTTCTTTTTTTGCAAAATAGGTGTGCTTCTGCACATCTCCGCATGCCGGCTCTGCGTGGCTCCACACTTAAGAAATAAGGCCTACGTAAGAGTAAACCCCTGCCAAGAAAAGCGAGCTTTCGACGCACCGGGAGCCTCTCCCCTTGCGGCCTGCAACGATCCGCTCCTTGTGTCTTTTGGTCGCAAAGAGTTTGAACTGGCACTCGGCTCCTGGAAATGAAATCTTTGGTTTGGTGTTTTTTGTACTCGGGAGAAAGAATCAAAAATAAGCTAAGCCAACCTGGGCTAATGCGGTTTGTGCAAACGCCACCCGGCCCGTATGTGAGTTATCCAATCAAGGTGATGACCTTTCTCGGTGCCAAGGCTCAGAAGGGGTGAAGTGGGGCAATTCAGAAAGGACTTTGATCACGTAGAAAAGCACAGAAAGTTGGGAAGCTCTGAGCTGTCCTCAGCATCTGTTCGTCTTCCCAGAAAGATGGGGATCCAGAAATCTGGAATGGTGGGGGGGGGGCTTCTCTTTTATCTTTTGCAGAACAACTGCCCTTCGAGAAAGCCTTTTAAAATGTTAGACAAACTCCGGACAGCCTTCCCCAAATGTGGATGCTTGAACTCTGAAGCCAGGCCTCTTCTTTCCACCCCAACCTGCGAAAATGTTCTGCCTGGAGCAATTCTGGAAAATCTCAAGGCTGAACATGATCGGATGATGGTCTTCTGACTGTGAGTCAGTGCTTTTCATATGGCAAAGAACAACGGCTGGTTCAGTTTGGAAGAGGGGATCCCCCCTCTCTCCGTAAACACCGAGAGGCAAATAATGTTTCCGGCAGCCGGGTGATGGGGACATGGGTTGCGCATATACCAGTGCAAGCCAAAGGTTAAATTCGGGGACAGATTGGCCTCCTTCAACATACCTGTTTTGGCATGCCCGTTCAGCCCCTGCAATTTCCCATTGAAGGTGGGAGAAAAAGCTCGCCCCAAATTCCAGGAAAGTTGGGAAAAGATTCCCATCGGAAAACCTCCTCCAATCAGTTAGTGGATTTATAAAGAGTTGTTTCTATCAGTGTTTCTCAACCTTGGCAACTTTAAGAGGTGTGGACTTCAACTCCCAGAATTCCCCCCCCCCCCTGGGGTGGTGGGGGGATGCCGGGGGGGGGCCCACCCCCTCTAAATATTAGGGAGTGGGGAAAACACTCACACGCCTTTTTTTAAA